TTTTAATAAAGAGAAAACCTAGCCCTACGTCGTATTGATATTTCGTTCCTAAAAAGACGTGTAATGATGGGATGTCGGCATGCAGCACAGAGCACTGCCGCTTGTCTGCCGCCGGGCGGCGGTGGGAGGGGGCGAACCGATACCCCTGGATCCGATGCAAATCGCACTCGTGTCCACACACGCGGCACCTTGTTGATTTAATTAAAGGGACACCGTCAACCCCCACCCCACCAACCCTCTACCCTCGTGACTGTGCATGTGCTCTCAATTGCTGCATCGTTAAACCGACCGAAACCGACCGTTTAAGTCTCTTTTTTTTAAATCTCCCTTTTATACTGAAAACAAACTTGCCGCGCTCTGCGTATTCAGGCACTCAGCGCACACCCACCTACCCGTAATTGATATGGAGGGTTTCGAAAATATTAAATACCGACGTTCCCTTTACCCCTGCCTGGATGCTAGCTCCCCGGTCATCCGCAGTCTCTCGCACATTGCAGTAGTCTTGTCAGTCTCCCCCCCTCTCCCTCCGGCCATGCCACGCCACGTCAAGCCACGCTTTTGTTGGTCCGGTCCGCCCCGATCGGCGCAAGTCGAAGCAGATACGGCTCGCATCAGTGGCAGCTCGTGGAAACGCGCGGTCGGGTCGGTGACAGAACTGGGCTAATGCCTACGTACGTGTTCTTCGAGCTTGGGTCTGCCCCCGCACCCCCCTTTTTTTGCCGTGCCTGTCTCACGACCGCTCCGCCCATCTCGCCCCCGCCGTCTATATTTTGGAAATTCCAGAGTGATCTATAAAGAGTAATGACATTCATCGTTGCCATTGCCAACTTACTATGGGATAACAGTTGGAGCGACGTTCCGTCGCTCCACATGAATGGCGATTTTGGAGCTCCTTTTGTGCGACGTTCGTCATTAAAATTCAAAATTATACTTAAGAATTGAGCGACGAAAACAGATGTTGCTCTCTGGAGAGTGGCAATATTTTTCAGGCATTGTGTCGTCCCTCTGAGAACAGCGCGCATTTACAGCGACCCAACAATCCTGCCAATACACCGAGAGTCGAGCATTTACAATGTAATCCCACCCCCGCCTCTTCACGTTGTCGTGAGAACCCCTGCGGAGGCCGGGGTAGGCCACACCGCACGGCACGGCAGCTGAGCGGGTCTGCCCGCCGCCCCGGCGCTCGACCTCCTGCCCGAGTTTCTCCCCTGCAGACTCCGCAGTCACCGAGGAAATAATGAGATCATGCACACCTGCGTCATGTACTAGAGGAGCCTTCAGCGCCACTTTATTGCACGGATATGAGCCTGCTTACATTTGGCGGTCGCACCCATATTTTCGCTGCATTTAGTAAGAATATGAATGTACTGAACGAGAAGTAATAAAAGTGACAGAGGGAAGTTGAGGGGGCCGATGGAATGGAATTGCTCAGAATTCGTTGTTTTACTGTAAACATGTTCATTTAATAAAATAATTCCATTTACAACTAAACTTACACATATAACTCCAATATCCAATAGGTCACTGGTCGAAACTTTGTCAATGTTTTTGTACTAAGGTTTACATACATTTTGGGAAATTTTACATCACAAACAAAGCACCCTCAATGTGCCCGAATATTAGTTTTTGAACGCTTGTCGAATTGCACATATATAAGGCCCTTGAGTCTTTTAAAAAAATTAAAAAATTATTGCTACGTCAGTAGTATTTACGGCGTGTCGATATAAACTGGCGTGTGAAGGGCGTCGGCGGAGGGCACGTGCTTGGCGATGCCTAGACCTGGGCTGGGCTCCTCGTTGTGCAGCATCACGCCGGTGGACGGTGACCGCGTCCACCTCCACGACAAGGACGAGCGGCCGGAGGGGTTGGACCCGAAGCCCAGGACGGCATGGTTGGGCGTCATGCTGAACACGGGGCTCAGACCGACGTTCAGGTTGCCGAGACTGGTCGCACCGCGATCACCGGGCTGGAAGCTCTGGTACGCCGACCTCAGCAGGCCGATGCCCTGGGCGGCGGCGTCCCCGGCGCTGCGGGCCGACTCGCTGCCGGTGGTCGAGGCCAGGTTCATGGCCTTCTTCACCTTGTCGATGGCGGCCGTGACGGCGTCCTGCGCCGCGTCCAGCGCCTTCTGCGACATCTGCTGGCTCTTGGAGGTGCCCTGGGAGGCCGCCGCCAGGATGGCGTCCCGCGCCGCGTTCTGCGCGTCCAGCACCGTGCTCTTGACGGCCTGCTGTAGGTCCTGCACCTGGCCGCGGACCTCGCCCGCGGCGTTGACGGCCGTGTTCCTGACGGCGTCCGTGACGCCGCGCACCGCCTGCGCGCCCTGCCCGGCCACTTCCTGCACCGTGCCTCGCACCTGCCCGGCCACGTCTTGCACCGAGCCTCGCACCTGCCCCGCCACGTCCATCACCGAGCCCTGCACCTTGCCGGCCACGTCGTGCACCTGCCGGACGGCGGCGTCCTGGGCGTTCTGCGCCACGTTGACACCCTGCTGCGCAGTGCTGGTGACGAAGTCCCTCGCGGAGCCCGCCGCGCCCTGGACGGCGTGCACGGCCTGCGCGGCCTGGCTGGCTGCGGCCTGCAGAGGGTCGAGGGCGGACGCGGCTCTGGCCTGCGCCATGAGCTTGTCGTCCTCGGCCGGGTGGCCCAGGCTGCCGATCTGGTGGACCGCGTGCTGCAGCCCGTGGCCTGCGCCGTGCGCGAAGCCTTGCGCTGCCCCCAGAGCCCCGGAGGCCAGGTCTGAGATCGTCGACGCGCCCGCATGCACACCCGTCGCGACGCCCTGGTACGCGTCCTGCGCGAGGTTGGACGCCGACGACACTCCGGACTGCACGCCAGACGATACGCCCTGGTAGGCGTCCTGCGCGATGTTCGACGCCGTCGACACGCCGGATTGTACGCCGCTCACGACGCCGTGGGCGACGCCCTGCGCCGTCTCGCTCGCCGCGTTGGCCCCGGATTGCACGCCCTGGACGACGCCCTGGTAGGTGTCCTGCGCGACGTCAGAGGCCGCCGCCGCTCCAGTGTGCACGCCAGAGGAGACGTCATGGGCGACGTTGTGCACCACGTCGGACACGGCGTGCGCACCCGACTGCACGCCCGAGGCCACGGTGTGGTAGGCGTTCTCCACGGCCCCTGCCACTGCCGTGGCCGCGTCGCTCAGAACGCCCCGCGGGTCCGCCATCCTGGCGTTCTGGTCGTTGCTGATGGACCGCTGGGTGAGCACCGACATCTGCGGCGAGGACGCCGACACCTCCATGCCGCCCGCGGCGCGGACGTCCGGGTAGTAGGCGCCAGGGTTCATGACGCTGAGGCTGAAGGCGGGCGGGAAGCGGAGTGCGGCCTCCCGGGGCTGCGCCTGCATGGTCTGCGTGGCCTGCGTCTGCGCGCTCACCCTGGCCGGAGCACCGTTGGACAGCGAGGGCGGCACTATGAAGTCCACTGCCTGATCGGCGGCTCTCATCTGGGCGCGGAGTGCATCGGAGGACAGCTTGTCGGCCTGCCTCAGCGCTCCGTCGGCCAGGTTCAGCCCGGTGGAGGCCGCCCAGCGCCCGCTGTCGACGGCGCCCCTGGCAGCCCCCAGGCCGGCGCCCGTGGCCGACGACGCAAAGTCCGTCGCCTGACGTACCGCGGCGTGCGCCGCCATGGCCCCGGAGTCGGCCGCGCGCTGCGCCGCCGAGCGCACGTACTGCGCGCCGTCCGAGAACATTGAGGGGTACTCGTCCACCATGTAGGCGGTCTGCTGCTGCTCCTGCGGCTGGTACGGCCCCAGCGGCCCGGCGAACTGCTGGCCGCGGAAGGGAAGCCCCAGCCCGCCGGCCATCGAGGTGAAGGCCCCCGTCGACGAGTCGAGGAAGGAGGCGCCGCCGGTCTGCACGGGCGAGACGACGATGTCCGAGAGGGCGTAGCGAGGCACCGAGCCGGAGGCGGCGCCTAGAAGTCCACCTGCAGCTTGCGGCTCAGAAGGCGCTGGAAAAAGCGTTCCAGACCTGAGGTTACAATGAAGTGCGGGTAGGCGAGTCCCGACCAAAGCACGCACGCCCCAGCTCGCACAGCACCTCACCTTTGGTTGTGGCGCGCTCGCGCATCAGCCTGGAGCGGGCGCGGTCGCGGGCTGAGCCCTTTCCTGGTGGAGAGGCCGCCTCGGCCGCGGTGAGTGGCCCGGCCAGGGTCAGGACGTTGACGGGGACGGTCCCGGGGGGAGCGGCGGGCGGCTGGGTGGCGCTGGAGTCGGCGGCCCGCGCGTCGTCGACGGGCACGGCGAGCGGCACGGCCAGCGGCACGGCCACTGCAATCAATCAGGGTAAACTTTCAGCGCGAGAATAATTGGTGCGTTGGCTCCTTGTGCCGAGGAGGGGCGGGAGGAGGCGGCTCGTCTGACTCTCGGGGGTTGACCTCCTCCGCGCCCGCGCCAAGCGCCGCCCACTGGGTTCGCAGAGTTCACGCAGCCGTTTCTCCTCCACGCCGATTTCTTGAAGCGAGCGCTAATATCAAGTTTCCGCGTGGCTTCCGCTCCCCGGTCATTATTATACCGAAAAACGAATCGGCCGCTCCGGCGCCCCGCCTCTCTAACCGGGGCGGGGCCGGCGGGGCGGGGCGGGGCGGGGAGCGAACAGGGGAGGTCAGTTCGCTCCTCCTCGGACTGCGGCTGCGCCCTGCGCCTCCAACCAAATAATGAGGTTGACATAAGGAACTACATCCGCGCAGTGGGATGTGTTAGAGATCTTCCAGAGAGTACGTTCGCTGCTAGAAAAGTTGCCAAAGTTCAGTTCAGTCTTTTGCGAGGTCTGATAGCGCCTTTGGGTAGGCAACATCGTGCCTGCAGCACATGCGTGTACTGCGGGGGTGTCTACCCTGCGGCTCGCAGGCGCCCAGCTTCCATAATTTGCCGGATGAATCTGAGAGAAACAGACGAACTTTCTGGGCGATCCCCTATAGAGGCGCCTATTTAATTTTGCGAGTTTCGGTGTTTAGGCTTCCCGGGGTTCTTGGCACACGACTCGTCGCTTTCGATACGACTTGCGATTTCCTGTCCTAAGATGTGGCTCACCTTGGCTGATGACGAGGGGCCGTGCTGGCTCGTTGCTGACGACGGGCTCCCTCAGGGCGGACTGGCGCCTCGACTGACGCGCTGCGGACAGAGATGTGGGTGTCGTCGTTATTTACTTTGGAGTGATCTGTTTTCTCCGACAACCTTTGCCCTCCTCTTCCTGGTGGCAGCTTTAACAGCTGCTGTCCCCCCCCCCCTCCCTTTCCCTCACAGGTCGAGCGGTCCTTTGATCACTTTTTGGTCGGTATATAGAGAACAGAGCAAGATAGGAATGGTGGTGGCAAAAGGATCAATCCAGCATGGATTACGACAGACGGGCCAAAAGAGATAAAATGAAAATATAGCGCTGCGCGTTGTCTTCTTTCCTCTCTCTCTCTCTCTCTCTCTCTCTCTCTCTCTCTCTCTCTCTCTC